ATTTTACCTTTTATTTCTAGAAATTTATCCTTAGTGCTAATTAATTACAAAATTTTAATTTTTGAATTTTAAAAAGCTACTCTCACATTCTCTTATTTTTTCAAGTAACCATATGAGTTTTATTTTATTTTATTTATTTATTTATTTATTTATTTATTACTTTTGTTCTTTCCCATTTCCTTCATTTTTCAAGTCTAGTAATCTCAAAAGTAATTCAACATGTTGTGTGATATATTGAGGGAGCATGCATGAATGAATCTATATTATGAATTATAAATTTGAGATGTTACAATTCAATTTTGAAGCTAGGTGTTTGTATTTGAAGCTAGGTGTTTGTATTGCAATTATCAAGTAAGAGGTAATATATTTTGCATTATATATATGTATGTATATTTATTTATTGAAGAAGTGTCTATTGATACATCTTAATTTTGTTTGTTTATTATTGTATTTTTTTTAACTATTAGTGGTATTGTTTTTTTTTCCTTTTTATTTGTGTAATTATAAAATTAATGAAATTAAAAATACTTCGTGTATTTGAACGTGGTAGCATACTAGTATAATATGAGAGGTATGTAGGTTGATAGGTAAAAGAAAAGAATTTGATTTTGTTTCCTCTTTCTTTTTTATTTGTTATTCAATTAATAGTTACTATGTATTTAAAGAGTAAAAATTTTCACCTACGATCCTCCGATTGCTTTCAGTTGTCCCTATAATAGGCTTAATATAACAGATTAAACATTTTCACTACTAGAAATCGTCAATCAGTGATATACGCTTATCAACGTCTATCAGTGATATACGCTTATCAACGTCTATCAGTGATATACGAGAGTAAGAACGATTAAGTAGAGTAAAAAACTGAGGGATGTGAGTATCCACACCAACGGTGGGTTGTACTCAAGAAAAAAAAACCTATTCATAATTTAATAAAGGAAAAGTTGGAAACAGAAAACAAATAAAGATTAGGAAGTTTAAAGCAGAAAACAATTAAATATTAGTAAGACTTTCTAATTGATTAAACGAATCCATCAGAGTATGTAAAAAAAATAATAAATAAATAACCAAATGAAAAAACAAGTTAGAATGTGTTTAAATTTTTTACCTTGCACCCACCATCTGATGGACCACGGACTAAAGAGCCAGAGAAGCAAGACATTCAGCAAAGAGTAGCCAACAGCAACTAAAGCATCTCGTCAGAACGCTAAAAGCAGGAAAGCAAGGCAAGTCTGACCACACAGGAGGGTAACGAGATTCAACTGGATGGTCACGCTTCTTCGAGAACGATTTTCCTCTCAATTTGAGATGAAGTTTTATCGGGTTTGAGGATTAGAAAGTAAAAATGAAAAGAAACAAGGTTTGATAGTAGCGATGCTCCCGCTACTATCAAAACCATCGGAAGGAGCGTGCTTGATCCGAAGGAGAGGACGGACGACGAGTTCGCACCTCGTAGGCGAGACCGACGGCGGTCGCACCAAACCTGCACGAACATCCCAGTGAGAAACAAATCACCATTTTTTGTCCCCTCAGAAAAATGTCGCGAACGTTCTTACCAGCAGGGGCCTCGCCGGGGTAAGGATGCCCATCACTACCCCTGGTAGAACCATTGGAATCCCCAGTCAAACGATGGTGAGTCAGCCTTTCGTCCGTGGCTATGAGCGTAGGAACCCTCTAAGGCCAAGGGATTGCCAAGGTCTTCTTCAAAATGCTATATGATTCAAACGAAAGTGGGAGCGCCCCACTCGGAAATGCTGCGAAAAAGGAACTGAAGCATAAGAATCAAAAGATAAAAGCGAGTAGGAGACAGGGGAGCACGTACCGTTCTCCCTGAAGTTGCTGGATAGGGGCCCAACGAACGGACCGCCACCGATTAACCACTGACCACCGACGAAGAACCAGTGGTCCTTCCAGTGTTTGTTCGATGTAGGGATATTTAAAAGCATCCCCCAGCAAGAGCCAAGACTGTAGAACCTTGGGAAGCCCGTGATAGACTTCATTAGAGTCAGAGTTGACAGCAGGGTCATGGTCATTCTTTCGGCCCCTCCTAGTTCCAGTCAAAGAATGGCTAGCGCCATCAGGGTTCCCCACGCGTTGGGGGTCGGTTGTGCCAGAGCCACGACGACAAATGTCAGGAAAGACTGGGCAAATAGAGAAAGAGGGAGTCTGACCCAGTTCCATAACATCTGCAGGTAAAAACTTACCATCCAAGTGGAGGTTTGTCTATCCTTTCATCTACAATCGGAAGGCGCATAAGAACATAGGCAGGGATCTTGTACTTGAAGCGGAGTTCTGAAACGTCTTATTCTATGGCCTACGACGAAACATGGTTCACCACTGGACAATTAGCCACGAATGTCGAAGGAGGAGCTCTCTCGTAGAAGGTACGAGGAATGTAGAAAAGGATAAGAAGAGATTACCGCAAATTTAAAAAATCTCAGAAGTGTTGTTTCGTATCCCAACGACGTTGGGAGTCACGACCGCCGACCCCCCCGCTTGGCGCATCACCCAAAGGGCACGGTCGTCAACAAAACAGTGGCAGACACGCATCCACTCACGATTCGAAATGATAGAGCACCTTGCTCCCCTCCAACGCTTTCGGGCCCGGCCCAGACAAGCAGTCCGATCTCGAAAGAGGGCTGACTGTTGGAGGAAAGAAATCGAGTAGGACGCGTGTCTGCTTTTGGAACGCGGGACCACACACGGTTGCCCTCCCCCGCGAGCTGGCATTGCGAAATAGGACACATGTCCTCTCACGAAGAAATGAGGGAACACGGATAGCTGGACGCCATACATAATTGTAGTGTGAGGCGGACGCCACCTATACGGCAGGCACGCCTCACAACTGCAGGCAACGGGTTCTGAGCTGTAGGAGGAGGTGCCGCCCAGCGATTGTCGGAAGCAGGCTCCCTGTACAGCATGGCGCGTCTCTGCCACCCCTAACTGTCATCCTTACTAGTCAACTGCCTGAAAAGGAAGGACCCTCATCCTCAAGGAGGGGGTAAAAGATCTGTCACTCACATATTTGATGTCTTTTTTTATTCTCATTCTGATTACTAACTTGATTGTCGGAGTATCTTAGGTGGGACACGAACCAACGTCGAGTCCTTTTGGTTTCAGGTTCTCTTGTTCTGTGGTTAGATTGCTCGTTCGAGGGACACGTGGCCTATAACCAAAATTCTCCGTCAACAAATATGAATTTAAACGAATATGAAAAGTTTTATCATTTATTTCTAAAATTTATCTTTAGTCATAATTAACTACAAAATTTTAATCAAGTGTGGATTTTAAAAAGCTCTATAACTCTCCCATTATCTCATTATAAAAAGGAGTTCTTCAACCATTTTCAAATTGACAATATGAGTTTCCAATTTATTTTATTTTTTCTTTTTTTTGGTCTACCTCATTTCCTTCATCTTTCAATTCAACATGTTGTGTGATATATTGAGGGAGCATGCATGAGTCAATCTATATTATGAATTATAAATTTGAGATGTTACAGTTCAATTTTGAAGCTAGGTGTTTATCTTCTAATTATCAAGTAAGAGGTAAATATATTATATATATATATAATATATATATACATATATATTATATATATTCTCTTTTTTTTTTCTCATTTTGAAAGTATCGACCTATACTATCGCGAAAGAGATGTTCTGAATCAATTTTTTTAAGCAATTTAGAATTATAAAGAAATGATCCATTTTGTCATTTATATGAATAAATTATTCTAATTAGTAAGAACTCAATGGGAACTACCCCTCTTTTTTTCTAATTGGAGGGGGATCCCTAACCACGGTTTCATTAGATATGTTACAACTGGAATCCCTCTTTTTCACAATCCAGTTCCTCCACCACGGTGAACCCCAAGTACTCTCTTTCGGATCCAGGAAACAGCTCTCACAGATCTTTTTCCTTTTGGATGATACAGATTATATATATATATATATATCTTGAAGAAGCTTTCGATACATTTTAATTTTCTTTTTTGTTTATTATTGTTTTTTTAATTATTAGTGTATTGCTTTTTTTCCTTTTTATTTTTGTTATTATAAAATTAATAAAATTAAAAATACTCCGTGCATTTGAACGTGATAACATACTAGTATAATATGTGAATTATGTAAGTAGATATGTAAAAGAAAAGAATATGATTTTGTTTCCTCTTTCTTTTTTATTTGTTCATACCGTATCTCCTCACATTCAATTAATACTTTATACATATATAAAAAGTAAAAATGTTCACCTACGATCCTATGATTGCCTTGAGTTGCCCCTATAATAGACTTAATAGATGTGATTAAACATTTTCACTACTAGAAATTGTCTATTAGCCAGTGATATATGCTTATCAATGTCTATCAGTGATATACGAGAGTAAAAACGATTGGGTAGAGTCAAAAACTTACAAGTGCGAGTATCACATCAACCGTTCTTTGTACTAAAGAAAAAAAAAACCTATTCATAATTTAAAAAAGGGTAATTAAGTTGGAAACAGAAAACAAATAAAGAATAAGAAGTTAAAAACAGAAAACAAATACGTATTAGGAAGACTTTGTATTTGATTAACGGAATCCATGAGAGTATTTAAACAAAAAAAAAAACAAAACAAAAATAAAACAAATCAATCAAATGAAAAAAAAAGTTAGAAAGAAAGCAAACCGAATCCATGAGAGTATTTCAAGAAAAAAAGAAAACAAAACAAAACAAATGAAAAAACAAGTTATAAAGATGAGGTTTTATCGGGTTTGAGGATTAGAAAGTAACTAAAAGGTAGGTAGCTGTTGTGGATGAAGTTTTGAAGAGTGTGGGTTTGTGGTAACACGTAGGACCATTTTCCATCATGAAATTTTACCGATGCCGCGTTGGGAAGGATGTTCAGTACATGAACTGTAGAACTGAAAGGCTTTTATAAGATAGCCAAATTGAAGAGCAATCTCATTCATTCATTCTTGTCCTCGCCCTGAATCCTAATAATTAACAATCAATTAATAGGGAGCATGGGCAAGATGTGTGCAGCAGAAGGTTGGCGATTCGCGAAACAAGTTGCCGATGGGCGATGGTTTTCGGTGTTCGCTTCGTTCGTGATCATGATCGGCGCCGGCTCACCCTACCTATTCGGAACATACTCCAAAGTCATAAAGACCCAATTCGATTACAGCCAAACCCAAGTTAACACCTTGGGATTCTCCAAAGATCTCGGCTCCAACCTCGGAGTCTTCGCCGGACTTCTCGCCGAGGTGGCTCCGCCGTGGGTTCTGTTCGTCGTCGGCTCCTCCCTCAACTTCTTCAGCTTCATCATGATTTGGCTCTCCGTCACTCACCGGATCGCCAAGCCCGAGTTCTGGCAGATGTTCCTCTACGTCGGCTTGGCTGCCAACGCACAAAACTTCGCCAACACTGCGGTTATGGTCATCAGCGTTAAAAACTTCCCGGACCGACGAGGGATTATTATTGGCCTTCTCAAGGGCTTCGTCGGCCTCGGAGGGGCCGTCTTGACTCAGATCTATCTAGCCATTTATGGCCACGAAGATCCATCTGATGTGCTTCTTCTGCTCTCATGGTTTCCGTCCGTTATATCCATTGTTCTTTTGTTTTCAATTAGAACAATCAGAGCTCGCWAACATCCGGAGGAGCTTAAAGTGTTTTACCACCTGCTGTACGCATCCATAATTCTAGCCATCTCTATCCTTATTATTACCTTGACCCAAAAACACATTGTTTTCTCCCATGCTGCCTATTTGGGAAGCGTCGCCGTGGTTGTGGCCTTACTGTGTCTGCCCCTTCTGATYGCCATTAAAGAAGAATTCTTGCTTTTCAAGCTCAACAACCAAGCCGTGGATCCATCTGTCACCCTTTCCATTCCAGAGGAGAAGCAATCTCTACCGTACTCCAATATCTTACTATCCACAGTACTTGAAAAAGATTCCCCTTCTAAGCCAGAAAGAGGGGAAGATTTCACCATCTTGCAAGCTCTCCTCAGCAAAGACATGGCTCTTGTTTTCTTGGCAACTGTTTCTGCATGTGGGTCCTCCATTGTCGCCATCGACAATCTTGGACAAATCGCAGAATCACTTGCCTATCCTGCTCAATCCATAAGCGTCTTCGTTTCTTGGATTTCCATATTCAATTTCTTCGGTCGGGTCTTCTCTGGCTTCATCTCCGAAACGCTAATGACCAAATACAAATTACCTCGTCCTCTCATGTTCGCCCTTGCCCATCTCCTCACCTGCATTGGCATACTCTTCATCGCCTTTCCATATCATGGTTCGGTCTACGTGGCTTCATTGATCATTGGGTCTGGATTTGGAGCCCAAGTTCCTTTGTTATTCGCTATTATCTCTGATCTATTTGGCCTCAAGCACTACTCAACGCTGCTCAATTGTGGGCAACTGGCGGTGCCGCTTGGATCTTATATACTAAATGTACTTCTAGTAGGTAGGATGTATGATATGGAAGCCAATCGAGCTGGTAATACAAAGCACGGCAAGGGCCTAACTTGCAATGGACCTCATTGCTTTGGCGGCTCGTTCACAATTTTGGCAGCAATAACATTGTTTGGAGCAATGAGTTCACTTGCACTGGCTTGTAGGACTCGAAACTTTTACAAAGGCGACATATATAAGAGATATAGAGATGACATGTGGATTACCGAATCCGACATGGAATTATATTCTTCAACCAACAAGAAGAAAATTGAACATAAGGAAACTACTTATGATGGAAGCAGTTGAAAGGAACTTCTCAACAAAAACATGCTTACTTTAGGAGCTTTTTAGGTTTCAATAACTTTTGTTTTTTTTTTCTTTTTCATAATATTCATTTTTTTATGAATAGGACTATTTGAAAACTCACAATACCAATCATAAGTTTTATTACCGCCTACCCAACAAGAATTATAAGTTTTTCCAACGTTATTTTTTCTGACGCATGAATAGCGTCGGAGAAAGATCTTTTTCCCGACAAAATGTAAATAATCAGGACTTTTGCCAACGATTTCTTAAAAGTTTTGGTAAAGGTATACCTCTCCTGGCATTATTTACCAAACGTTGGACAATGTAGATGTTCTCTCGACTATTTTAAGACACCGTGGGGATATATTGTTTTTTTTTTTTAAATAGTATAACTCCTTGACTATTTTTAAAGAGAGTCGGGACGAGTTAATATTCTCGATATTTTTAAATAAAAGTCGGGACAAGTTTACTTTACCCGACCATTTTAGTAAAAATTCAGGTAGTCGAGAGAAGTTAATATAACCTACTATTTTGAATAATAGTTGTTAAAGTAAAAAGTTTAATTTGATGACTCATAGAATATGATAACCTTATGTTATATATATCTTTCTTCTTGTTGATGCCTATGACTTGTGTATTAATCTTCAAGAAGCACATGACTTTACTTAGGATTATAGGTTGAGGAAGTGAACTACTTCCTTCCTAGCATTACCCTTATCTATACCATAGATTTATTTAAAAGTATTTTTTTTCCTTACCTATTTGTAGTTTACTTAGTAAGTTCCTCTTATTCATTTACGTAACTCGACAGTGTTTTCTTGGTTACGTCTTGCACGAACTTAAACAACTGAAGAACTATCATTAAAAGAAATAAGGTTTTTCCCGCTGCTTCAATAGTGCAACCATAATCCTTTATCAACTAAAGCCACCTTATTTGTCGTAGATTTGAACTCTTTTTGATAAAAGATAAACTTGAAACTCTTGCGATCTCTTTAAGTACTAAAGTACTTCTCTCCAAATAAGTAATACTGCAAAACTTTCAATACTATTACTACCACATCTAACTATAGATCATGAACTGGATATACACTACTCATGCTTCCTCAACTATCTTGACACATAAACTATCATTTTTCCATTCTGCATCAAAACACGCCCAAAACCTTGATAAGAAGCATCACGATAGACATCATACTCTACTCTAGGTGTTAAAAATGATAGTGTAAGGGCCTAAAATAATCTCTTCTTTAACTCCTGGAAGCTCTATTCACACTTTCCTATCCATATAGACTTTGAGTTCTTCTTGGTTAGATTAGTTAGAGAAAGTGCTATCTTCGAAAATCCTTCAACAAATTGGTGATAATATCCTTCTAGACCATAGGAATTACGAATCTTTATAACTTTAGTTGGCTGTCCTCCTCATCTCACTACTGCCTTGATTTTCTGTGGGTCAAAATATATACCTTTTGCATAAACTACCTGGCCCAAAAACATCACATCATCAACCCATGACTCACACTTGTTAAATTTGACATATATTTCCCTGTCACGTAATGTATGTAGCACGATTCTAAGATGCTCTACATGCTCGCCCTAGTTGCCAAAAAATACTAATATGTCATCAATTAAAACAATTACAAAGTGGTCCAACTACGGATGAGTAGTAGATGCATTATAATTGGTTTAGTGAACGTGTGATCATATGCATTACATTATAGGAAGTCATGCATCAAGGTGGCATAATGCACATCTATTAAGAATTTGAAACTTAAGATACTACTAGTGGGCAAAACATAAGGGAACAAGAAGAAGTTAGTAAGACTAGTCACCAGAATGGAGACAATGAGGTTGAGATAGATGTTGAGTAAGAGTAGTTTTATGGCTATAATGGCTCACTTATATTTTATAGAATTATGGAGACAATTGCAAGAGTTAGTTGAGAAAAGGTTATATCATACCTAGTGTGTCACCGTGGGGTGCACTAGTGTTATTTGTGAAAAGGAAAGATGGTACGTGTATCGATTATGGACAGTTGAGTTAATAATTCAATGATACAGAATATATAACCATTGTCTCATGTAGATGCTTTGTTTGGTCAACTTAAAGGTTCCTCAATATTCTAAAAAAAAATGATTTCATGTGACGTTCGAGTAGGTAGGAGGGGTACATGGATTAACAGGTATCACATCCAAATGAGAGGGATCTTGAGATCATGGAATCATGGTTAAGAAATGCCTAAAAGAATTGATAGTTACTATACCTATACTAATAAGTTACACTTTCCTTTTCAAAGGCTCAACCATAAGAACTGTAAAGCTAAGCGTGCTTAGTTTAGAGCAATCTTGGGTTGGGTGACCTCCTAAATAATTTTCTTAGGAAGCATGTGAGTGAGGGCAAAGCATGCTGAAAAGACTCGTGTTAGCTTAGATAAAGATAGTAGCGTAGCCAGGTCGTAGGGATGCAGGGCAATGTTGGGGCAATTAGGGCCAAATCCACCTTTCCCAGTATGATGTGGTTCAGGGATGAACCAAGCCAAAGCTGATGGGCATTTGATGTTGTGTGCTCACAACTGAGGTGAATACCAGTACAAGTGTACACTATATTTGTCAATTGTAGTACGAACTAGGTCGAATCCACAAAGACTTGGCACAATATTTTAAGATTATGCTTAAGAATACCAAACGTGCAAGAAAATAAAACAATAGTGATTTGTGCTGAAAATTGTAAAAGATATATCAATAACGAAGCGATAATAATATGAAAATATTTCAACTTCATCTCCACAGGGACTAGTTTTCTTTTAAAATAAAATTGCAAACTGTTTGAATGAGCAATCGAGTTTGGGATAAAAATTGGTGAAATTGTTGGAACACGATTTAAAAACACACAAAAATTATACTTTAACAAGCCAACCCTTCTACTACTGTTTAGTTCTTAAAAGATGAATTAAATCTACCAATTGTGCCTGCTATTCCACTCATTTTATGCAAACTGGTTCAACTCATATTCCATATCGCGTTTGGCTTGTTTAGAAACTTAGGCTAGCGTTTACATATATCTATGAAACCCTATAATCCTAAATAAATCAAACTTCAAGTTACATTTAACGGGTAAAAGAGACAATGTCTAGGATATTTTTTTAGTTCTTATTTCTAAGTAACTTCCCGTTTTACCTTGATGAAATTCGTTTGACTCTAACCTTTTCAGAATTAAATTCAAACTAATGTGATTTAAACAAGTGGCCAACAAGAAAATCAACTGGATACATCGACGATTTTATCATACCGTCGGGCGACGACCAGCCCCACTGCCACTCCAATCCCCCTTTCATTTTTTCTCTCCATCGCGATTTTTAAAGTAAATAGTTCCAAATTTTCAGTTGTATATATCTTTTTGTTTATGCATATGACTTGTGTATTAATCTTTAAGGAGGACAAGACTTTACTTAGGATTATATGTTTAGGAAGTGAACTACTTCCTTTACAGCATTATCCTTTGAACCACTTCCTTTATAACCTTATCCTTATCTATACCATAGATTTATTTAGAAGTCTTTTTTTATTTTCCTTATCTAATTGTAGTTTACTTGGTTAGTTTCTCTTATTTATGTACCTTACTAGATAGTGTTTTTTGGTTAGGTCTTTCATGAACTTAAAAGAAATCAAAGAACTATCACTACAAGAAATAAGACTTTTCTCGACGCTTCAAAATGTCAGAAAAAAGCTTAAAAACGTCGGGAGTAACTTTTTTCGAAGAAATAAATGCGTCGGAAAAAATGTCGGGCAAAGTCCATCGGGAAAGGTCACTCTAAATGTTTTTTTCAAAAAAGGTTGGGAAATGTTTAGTTTTCTCAACTTTTCCCAACCTATTGAACAAGTGTATGGTAGTGACCTTTCCTAAAAAATTTGAGAAAAGTCACTTTGTCCAACCTTTTTTCAAAAAATATCGAGTAAGTTTTCATCTATTTTTTTCGATAAATCCATGTTAATTTGAATCCTATCCTTGTCAGAGACTTAATTTAGGGCATTTTAATTCACGTTAAATTTATATATCTAAATATCAAATAATATGATATTTTTATTAAACAAAATAACCTTCTTACAATATGCTTACAAAAGTTACAAAAGAAATCTAGTTAAAGCTTCATGTCCTCTACTTAATAAATTACAAAAGAAATCTAGTTAAAGCTTCATGTCCTCTACTTAATTAAATTTATTGTAACGCACTAGGCCAAAATTTGGACCAGGATTTGGAATATGAATTTAGCCCTAATTGTCCCAGCATTATTCCACTGCATTCCTTACGACCTAGCTATGCTACCTTCTTTATCTTAGCTACTTAGAAGAGCGAAGACTATCCTAACAGACCAACACAAGTTGTCCTTTCAGAATGCTTTGTCCTTGCTCACAATGCTTCATAAAAAGAACCTCTTAGGAAGTTACCCGATCCAAGATTGCTCCAAGCTAAGCACACTTAACTTTGGAGTTCTTATGGTTGAGACACTAAAAGAAGTGCACCTTATTAGTATGGGTAGTAACTATCAATTCTTTTAAGTCTTTCTTAATCATGCTTTCATGATCTTTCTTAATCATGCTTCTATGATCTAAGGATCCCTCTCATTTGGACATACTACCAGTTCATCCAATAACCACTCCACTCTACTCGAACGTTTGATAGCTCTATAAAAGAGAGTTATTATGGCTATTGTTTGGGTAGTTTTGTGGTAATTATTGCGGTTGTGTGTCTAATTTAGCTCTCGGAAATCATGAATGGATATAGAAACTAAATCTTGAGCTTAATTCCCTTGTATTTGATGCTTTGACATAAGTTATGGCTGATTTCTTCTATTATTGGCTCTTTTGTGCAGAGTTGAAATCTGAAGACTAAGTCATGAGAAAAGCGCAGAGCCCAGCAACAATTAATGAAGCATTGTTAAGTCGAAAGCTTGAGAAGCTGAAGTAATCTAATGCTGAAGTATGGATTCGAGGAACATCAGAAGAAGAAGAGAGCTCTGAAGGCTACTTAGTTTGACCGCAAAAAGGAAGTTCCTTTCTTTTTTGCTCTGAAAAAAATGACCCCACAGTTGTTGTTACTTTTTAGTTTCTTTGATTTAATTTTAATTTTTGAAATTTTAATTTTGGTCTTAGCATGTTTTTCCGTTTCTTTATTTTAGTTCAATGTGTTAATTTCCCCTTGCAAATTAATGAAGAAAAAAAAAAGGAGAGGTTTAGTTAATCTTGTGTTCCCACATCTGCGTATGCATTCATCTTTATAATTAATCTCAATGCTAGAGCATGCATAACAGAGTCTTTTATGTCTGAGCTAGAGCATTTAAATGTGTGAGGACTTAGCTTTTTTTGACCTCTGTATTAGGCTTGACTGCCCTACCCCCACCTTCTTTCTCGTAGTACTACCCACAAACAACTCTAACCTTAGGGAGGATTTTCAGTGGTTACCTATTCAAAGTCACCTTTATCTTTGTATATCTAGTATGGACCTCTTGTAGTTCCCCTTAGAAACATACCGCAAGATCTCTTCATCCTTATTAATTCAATTCAGTTGCAGTATTGTGTTTTCGCTATTTCTTCTTTAATTTTTGCGCTCTTTTGCAATGGACCAGTTGACGAACACTGAAGGTGAATCTACCGGCAACGATGAATTGCAATCCAATCTAGTGGTAAATCCGAGCAACAAGATCTCTACCTTGAAGTTAACTGATGATAATTTTCTTTTGTGGAAATTTCAAATTCTCACTGCCCTAGAAGGTCATGGTTTGGAATCACATTTGGAAGATGGTCCGCCTTCTAAATTCCTTCAGGTTAGTGACCAATCTTCTACTGCTCTGAAATTAAATCCGGTTTTTACTAAGTGGAAGCGTCAGGATAAATTGATATCCTCGTGGTTACTTGGTTCTATGATCGAGATATTACTTCAACAATCACTACATTGTACATCGGCTAGGGAGATACGAAATTGTCTTGTACAAATTTTCACATCTAGAAATTTAGCACAAGTGATGAAGATTAAATCAAAATTACAAACTCTACAAAAGGGAAATTCTACACTGAAACACTATTTTTCTCAAGTTAAAAAGTGTATTGATGATGTAGCAGCCGTCAGTAAACCAGTTTCTATGAAGGATCATATTGTTTATCTATTATCTGGTTTAGGATCTGAGTTTGAGTCAATGATTTCTGTTATTCTTGCGAAATCTAGTCCTCAAATAGTACAAGATGTCATGGCTCTATTATTTACACAAGAAAATAGAATATTCTGATGGCAGTATTCCTTCAACCAATCTTACACATGCTACTGCTATGGGCAAAGAGAATGATGCTCCCAGAAATGATGCTCAATTTGCGAATAGCCATGGGGCAACTAATTGATTTCAAGGTCGGAACAATATAGGCGGCTGGTAGTGGAACAATAGAGGTCGAATTCAGTGCCAACTGTGTGGCAAATTTGGCCATACTACTTCGAAGTGTTACTCTCGTTTTGATCTAGAGTTCAAGGACCTCCTTCCTCTGGTTCCAGTTTTTATTCTCCTCAGTACCAAACGGCCAATTTCTCCTCAAATGGTTCTCCTCAAATGTATGCACTGCTTTACTGCTCCAGATTTGAATCATGATACCAACTGATATCCTGATTCGGGTGCGTGCCTTTCAGATAACGGAGAATCCGTTTAACAGTCTGCCAATGAGTGATTGATGGAGTATGCATAAACTGACATACTCGATTCACAGCATAAGAGATTTCCGGTCTCGTGACAGTGACATACTGTAAAGAGCCAACAACACTTCGATACAAGGATGGATCAGAAAATAATTCACCACCTCTGGAGGATAGAACTGAGCTGCTGACCATTGGGGTTGCTATGGGATTAGCATTAGCCATGTTTGATCTCTGAAGAACATCAGAGATGTATTTTGATTGGGATAAAAACATTCCACCAGATTTGGTATATGACACCTCAATTCCAAGGAAGTAGCTAAGAACACCGAGATCTTTAAGAGCAAAAGCAGTATGTAGAGAGGATATCAGCTTGGAAATAGCAGTAGCAGAGGAACCCGTGATGATAATATCATCCACATATATTAAAACATAGCAACAATCAGCAGATGTAGGTCGCATGAAAAGAGCGTGTCAGCTTTGGAATTAGTAAAACCAACAGAGAATAAAAAATCCTTCAACCTATCAGACCAAGCTCTTGGAGCTTGTTTAAGACCATAAAGTGTTTTCTTCAATTTACACACTAAGGGAGCAGTGGTGGATTGAGAAACACAAAAGTCGCATGGTTGTTCCATAAGTACTTCTTTAGTTAATAGTCCATGGAGGAAAGCATTGTTGATATCCAGCTGACGAATAACCCAATTATTAGCCAAAGCTAAGGTCAAAAGAACTCTAATAGTCACCGGTTTGATCACAGGGCTAAATGTTTCAGAATAATCAATGTCAGCAACTTGATGGAAACCTTTGGCTACTAAACGAGCCTTATAGCGAGAAATGGATCCATCCGAGTTCCTTTTGATCTTGAAGACCCATTTACAGCCTATAACCTTCTTGTCTTTGGGCATAGAAATAAGATCCCATGTTTTATTTGTTATAAGAGCATCATATTCTTGTTGCATAGCTTTTCTCCAATGAGCACAACGCAAAGAATCTTTAACAGTTGATGGTTCAGAATCAAGAAATTCAGACAGATAGGTTTTAGGTTTCCATATACCATTTTTGGATCGTGTGACCATTGCATGAGTATTAGAAGGTGCAGTAGAATTCGTAGAATGAGGAACAATAGCATTAGATGTAGTATTAGTAGAATAGGGATTAGGAAGAATGGGAGAGACAGCAACTGGAGGTGTATTAGACATAGAGGAAGCAGTAGGAGAAACTGATATATTTGGAGCTGCAGATTCAATAGAAGATGGAATATGAGAAGTTGTAGAAGATAAAGGGGGATCATTATGATGTAAATGAGAAGACGGTATAGAATAGGGTGATTCTAAAGGGGGAATAGGAATGACAAGTAAAGTAGAAAAGTCATGAGAATAGCGAGAGGAAGTGGTCAATTGTGAAGTTGTGGCATAGGGAAATGTAAGTTCATTAAAGAGAACATGTCGGGAAATAATAATCGACCAGAAGAATCAAGACATTTATATCCTTTGTGCAGATTACTATAACCAAGGAATAAGCAAGGAGAAGAACGAAGACTCAATTTATGATTATTGTAAGGTCTAAGATAAGGAAAGCACAAACATCCAAAAACATTCAGAAAAGGATAATGAGGTTTAGTTTGGAAAAGACTTTCCATTGGACATTTTCCACGAAGGACATTTGTAGGAAGTCTATTAATAAGATAGACCGAAGTAGAGAAAGCATCATCCTAGAAAGTCATAGGTAAAGAAGCATGAGAAAGTAGGGTTAGACCGGTATCAACAATGTGACGGTGCTTTCTTTCAACAAGTCCATTTTGTTTAGAGGTGTGAGGGCAAGTGAGGTGATGAATAATTCCATTAGCCTTAAGAAAAGAGGTAAAGGGTCGAAACTCACCTCCCCAATCAGTTTGAAGCATTTTAATAGAACAATTAAGAAGTTTTTCAACTTGTGTTTTAAAGGATATGAAAGTTTGTAGAGCTTCAGACTTGGAATGAAGAAAAAATATCCAAGTATATCGGGAAAAGGCATCAATAAAGCTCATATAGTATCGAAAGCCATTACAAGAGGTAGTGGCAGTAGGGCCCCATAAACAAACAATGCAATAAAAATAAAGAAGACCACTAAAGGTTACATGAGAAGAAGGGTGACTACACACCACAATCAGAATCCACTATCTTAAGTATAGAGAAATGATTCAGCTTGAATGTTCGAAAGCCTAGGGAACATTAACAAATTTTAGCCCACTGAACACCTTTTCCAGCTTCGTCGCCGCCCACCTTTTGCTCTGTCATCCTTTCCCGTGGACCATGCCTGATAACTCTTCAAAACTGTCACCCAAAAGGCCTCATACCAATGGAGATAATTGTCCTCTCTTATATACCCATGATCATTCCCTTCCCTAGCCAATGTGGGACTTTGTTTACAATCACCTTACAAACCCAACAAAGAACTCGTTCTATTCCACAATGATGTATGATCACAAGTTTCTCTCGACAAAAGAACAAAATTATAAAGGAGAACAAAACTGAAATTTTATAAGCTGAGATTTCAAAAGTACAAAAAATTAAAATTACGCTAGAAACTTGCTTCCAAACGAGAACAAAAGTTGAAAATAAAAGCTAAAGCAAAAGTAACTTAAAAGAACTAATGAACCATAAATTGTGCTAGAATAGAACTCTAAGGAAGCTTGCAAATGATCAAGGAAAAGAGTGAAGCTTGATGTAAATGAAGAAGTGAAAGCTGGTTTTTATAGGAGTCCAAGGTTCGTTAGGACACGGTTGAGAAATTCATGCTCCACCATTGACTTTTAACTTGTTTGACTACTATTTTACAACCAAATATTCAACCTTCCTTGCATGGATGACACGTGGCACATAGATGTAGCTTTCTACACAAAAACTTGGGTTTTTGTTACTTTTTTCCACTCTAAATCATGTTAAACTTTAGTTTATACATAAATAGGTAATGATTAAACATAATGCATGAATATATCATCAATTGGGCACTTAAAAAAATTTAAACATTATAACTTTAATCTATTTTTCCCCTGTAAACAAGTGATAGAACATTTTGTAATAATAATTTAGGATAAAGGAAAATTATAATAGAATTAAAATGAAAATTCTAATATATTTATGTCAATCCAAACATAGCTATAACACCCTCTTCTATCTTTTAGTACTTGGAAAAAATAGTAATGTCATGAAAAAAGCAACTTGAGAAAATTAAATTCAAAAGCACTTCTTATCGACACCACGAAATTTCGATAGAATTCTCAAAAAGAAGGTAATATTTTGCAACATCATTTTAAATTTCTAAGAGACATTCTATTCTTCGTTATTTGGACATTAGCAATCATTTTGTCATAATGCTTGATAGCACACTACATGAACTACATTTCATGACATTTATATTGGAATTATGTGTTAGTTTTTGTTTCTTTATGATAGATTTACACGCATAAGATATATTTTGTAGGAATAAATAATCATGAGGAATGAAACATAAATGGATCGAATTGAGAGGAAAATCATAGTCTGCGGAGTGAGTAAAGAAGACATGACGACACTTATTGGAGTCCAAATACATGAGGGAACATCACTAGGTGATAACTCTCCATAAGATAGTATTTTGTGGCTTAATTTAGGGAATATTGGTGTGTAAATTGCAAGAGTCCTTGATAAAATAGCAAGAAAAGAATGAATTTTAGTGAACCAAGGGCCTAAGCTGTTAAAGTTATTGATATCCTGCTTTTAAATGAAGTTGAGTTTATTTTATGATATTTTGGATAGGAATTAAAGAATTTAGAATGAGTAAGCCGAGAGCTGCTCAGACTGATGATTGCTGCTGGAGCTTGAGTTAAAAAGATCTAATGCTGGAGCCTGTTGGGATCAGCTGGATGCTCTAGCGAATGTGACTTTGTAGTAACTTGTTGTCCCAGTTTTTACCACGTCCGTATAGCTTTTAGGCGTTACCATAAATTTAAAGGCCAAGTATAAAAAGAGAATTGTGTCCATCTACAAAAGGGGTGACACGACATAAATCAATTTCGGGCATCGAAATCAGAGACATTCCTTGTCCATTTCGAGGTAGAAATTAACGTAAGAGGAGCATTTTCTGGCATCATTGTTGAGCTCGGAGATAATCCACCATTACCGAAGCTTCTTTACTTTATGAGCTCCATTTCTTTTTCACCAATTCTTTTATTTTCCTCTAGCATGAACTAAACCCCACCTTCGGGAGGGGGGATGAACTCGATGTAGCTTTTTAACCGATTATATTTTAGTAGCTTTTAATGCTGATTTAATAAAGGTGTTAAAATTCTTCCATCTTACTAATTCTGTTTTGCCAACACTTTTAGTTTGATTACTCACATTGGAGCCTTGGGAAAGCCCTTGTGATGTTGGTTTGCTTAGATTCTTCTCTTTGTAGTTGGATGGTGAGTACTTAGGCATGAGGCTCACCCTTTTGTGCCTATAAACTATTTATATTGTGTGTTTAAGCTACAGCAGGAGTTGAGTTTAAAGATATTTGGGCATCTCGATAGAGAGCTATGTCTGTTTGGGCATTATCATTTTAGGTTTGCTAAAGCATGAGTTAATCGTATGTGAAAGCATTTGAGTGAATCCCCCACGATTTACCTCTATATTGCATTATATTGGCATTTCTGTCGGTCTTCTGTTTCGGATGCTCCTACACAAATATTGCATAATATCTCTGTTCTTGTCTTTCTACCATTTGTAGCATTTTCAATCACAATGCTTAAATTACCATAATTGATTTTTTTTCTTTATTTCTCTTTTGATATTTTGTTTTACTATTGGAAAGTATCGCTCTAGTCCGTGAGGAAACGACCTTGTTTTATACTATAATTGCTTATTATGATGTACACTTGCACCGGTTTTCATGTAAGTTGTGGCAAGCGAATACCAAGACAGTCACCTAAAAATGCACCACGACACCTGTAGCCGAAGAAATAGAAAGTGGAATTTTGGCTCGAGAGGTCAGTGCCTAAGCGCTACCTCACGATGCCTAGGTGCCAGCCACAAAGCCTCGATGCTCAGAATTTTTTTCGTTCGTCTCTTTTTCCCGTAGCGGCATGGTGCTCACTTTATGGTGTTGTGCCGCTGTAGAGACTGCTTCTTTATAAATTATGGTTTTACAGCCATCGTGAGGGAGATTGGAGAACCTTTTACACACTTTTGGGAGAGAGACATGATATAACTTGAAAATAGAGAGAAAAAGAGCATCAAGGAGCTTAGAGAAGAGATTTTCAAGGCTCGGATCATAGAGATTGGCTTGGAGACTATCAATCGACACATGAAAGTTAGTTTTTCTCCTTTCTCTTGAATTTTCTTGTTTTGTAATGGAACTTTCTTTGGATTTTATTGTTTTGCATTGAATATGAGTAGCTAAGTTCTTTTGTCTTATGGATGCCATTTAACTTTATGCATGGATTGTTTAATTGTCTTGGTTGAATGATTATGAATGTTTTATTTATGTATCTCTATGCTTAATGTCTTTAATCTAAGGCCATATATTGATTGATTTTAGACTTGAAATCTATTTTAGACTTGAAGTCTTACGCTCAAAAGAGATGATTTAGAGCTAGAACTGGGATGCGTAGTTTTAAGATCGGGATATTTAGAAGTCCTTTATACGTTGTTAAAAGACTTATTCAATAAAGCCTTTACTTATTATAGAAACTAGATAGATATATTGGTTTTTTAATTAGTAAGAAGAATTAGCTTTCACTCGAGAGAGACAATTGAGATTTGAGAGTTCTTAACCTATAGAATCAGTAGTTCATTCATCTTTTGCGTAATTAAGTAATTGGTTCATCGATTCAATAGGTGAAACAAATTCCCTAAGACCTTTCTCCTCATTGATTTTATCTTTATTGTCGTATATTTAATTGGTTTGATATATTCTTTCATTCAGATGAGATTCTCTGAAAATTGAGCGATTGTATCTGTGGTGCTTGAGTGAGTTAGAAATAGAAACTAGAGAATGATATTGGTATTCACTTACCATCTATATTAAAACTTGACTCGTTCACTTGCAGGAAGCAATTTATGCTACAATGATTCCTTATTGACTATAGTATTTCATCAAAATATTGTAGTTTTTTGTAGAGTTGCCCTGAACTCAAAAGATTGTTATTCATATATTTTGCACATAATAAACATTATAGATATACTCATACTTCTCATTCTTTAAATTGATAAAAATCTTGCAATTTTCTTTTACTGTAATTTTTGTAGCATCACCAAATATGATTGTTCGTAAAGTTATCGTGAGACATAGCGTTGACGTCCTCCCTTAAAGGGTTTCTTAAAAGAGAAAAGGTCTAGAGTCACCACCAACCATCTATGAGATGTGATTGATTACCCAATTAAAAAACATGGTCTGCGAAAACAAATATTGGTTATGGACTCGATTGAGTATAAGGAAGATGTAACACCCTACATTCATTTGTTTCTTCCTCGTCGACCACGACGCGAAAAATCCAAACCCGGAAAGGAGAAGGGCCGGTGGTGGGCATTTGGGAAAGTCGGGCTAATAAAACATTATCATATGTTATCTTAAATTATCCTATTATTTTATTTGTCCAAAATGTAAAATATTTTTTGTTTTGTTTTCCTGTGTTTAAAAAATTTATAATCCCTCAGGAATATTGGAAAATTATCATTTTGTAATCATCATTGATTTTTTTTTTAAAATTTGTTTATAAGAAAGAATGATCAACTGACAAGCTTAGTGCGAGTAGTAGAAGTTTATAAGAAAATAGTGTTAAAACAATCATTAATTTTATGGAGATGTTACAAATAAGTTGATAGATAAAGAACTTAAAATACTTGTAAATACATCTGCAAGTAACTTGAACCTTGAATGGTAGGGATTCGTTACATTCCAATAAACATATATGTGTTTGTTGTTTGGTAACAGAGATTTGGAAATTAAATCTCAAAATTAATTAAAAAGTTATTCAAGGTATTTAGTAGTATATTTGTAAATAGTAGTAGTTATCAATTAAATATTTATTTAAATTTGAAATAATATTAATTAATTTATTAACATATATATTATAAAGTTTGTAAAACAATTATTTTATAGTATATTATATTTTACGTTTTCTTTTTTTACTTTAACAAAAATGAAAAGAATTTATAACATGATATAATATATTTATCAAAGTCTTTAGTAATTCAAATTCCGAATCTAAAAATACTAAAAACATAAAAATGTTGTTTTCACAATTTCTACTATACGGATCACATACACAAGACTTCACTCTAATACCATGTTAAGGATGAATAAACTACCACTCAATCCAAAAACTTAAGTTAATGGGTTGGGTAAATTTAATTAATATATTGGATATCTAAAGTTGTACAAAATCTAGTAATTTGAAAATAATTTCTAAAGTCGTATTCAAATGATACCAACATCATTCATCATTCTAAATAGATTGTCTTACAAACTTTAAATCATAATACCATAGTCCTACTATCACGACCAAAGACATCAGCATCTATGGATTGGTGTTATAATTCATATAAGTGAATTAAATTTACCCAATCCATCAGCTTAAGCTTTTGAGTTTAGTGGTAGTTTATTCATTTTTAGGATAGTATCAGAGTGGAAGGTCATGTGTTTGAACCCCATCAACTTAAGCTTTTGGGTTGAGTGGTAGTTTATTCATTCTTAGAAATTGGAAATAATTTGTAATGGTCAACTCTATATCTCATAAACCTCAGCCCAATAACACCAACCACTTTAATCAAATTCCTTGTAGCCTTTTTCTTTTTGAAAGAGAAATACAATTTCATTAAAAAAGTATTTGAGAAACATATAAAAGAAATAAGCTACAAGAAAGTATTCCAATTCAGCCAAATGATAGATATCATTCAAATTCCTATTTAAGCCATGTTAGCGCCAACTCATACCAACACAACAACCGTGACATCAACTTATTAGTTTATTTATTTAAAATTAACGGTAGGAAAAAGGTACATTTTTAGAAGTATTAAAAATCAAAATAAACCATATTATAAGAACTAAACTAAAATTTTTACTCAACTTTTTTACTCAATACCGCGCCGCGAAAATAAGTTTTGGCTCAACCTCATGCAACTTACGTCGAAAATTAAACCTCATTGAATTGTAAATTATTTGCAGTCGAAAAAACTCTAATTATGCAACGAATTTCATTTACAATCTACTTTTGAAGACTCTGATACCATGTTAAGTTTTAGGAGATGAGAGAAAATAGAGACGGTGGACAAATAGAATTTCATTAAATTGAATTAAAAAAAATACAAACCTAATAACCTATTTGTACTAAAATAATATCAAATCAATAGAAACCTAATTCATATAATATAATCTAAGTTATCTATCCATAATCTAATAATATATAACCTATTTATATTAAAATAATCTCAAATCAGAAGACCTAATTTATTATAATATAATCTAAGCTATATATACATAAACTAATAATATAATCTAATCGTCGATATTTCAAAAATTTATTCTTTGGGTGTAAATATTAAACTATGAAAAAGGAGTCATAATTTGAAATTTTGAAAATTCTTCCTTCTTTGATGATAAAAAAGAATTAAAAACAAAATATTTAGTCCTACTAAAATTAGAATTTAAAATTTCTTTCAATATTTCCAAAATATCCAAACACTAAAAAAATCGTAAAACACGTGTAACTCACATAAAAGTTACAACTACACAAAAATTACGAACCTGTGTTCATTTACATTTGGAAAAAATAGAATCATGAGTGGGTTTGGTCGGAAAAGTGATTTATGACCCACTAACCCACAATTTACTTTTAGTATTAAAAAAAATAGATTGGATTATTTGCGGAGTCTGCTGCCATGTGTGCAGTCTAGAATTGGAAACCAACAGCCGTTGATTTATTTTTAAATCTTTTAATTATCTTTATTTTTTACTTTTATTTATTTTCCTGATCTCCCCCGTTCTCTCACTTTCTTTCTCCTCTCCCCTCCTCTCCTTTATTTTCTGTTGAGAATGGAGCCAAATTAAAAGAAAGAATCAAGCTGGCTTAATGGGCTTAAATAAAAAAAAAGGCCCATTATATTATTTCTTCTTCATTAAGTTGGCAATTTTCTTTTGTTAAAAAGTAAGTGTCTGCCGCCCACGATTTTAACAACCCCTAGAGAGAGAATCAAGTGAGAGAAATTTACAGAGAGACG